CTCATGTTGTCCATCCATGTTACTCTTTGTCTTCCTCTGGCTCCCCTGCCACACATCGATCCTTCAAGCACCTCTTTCACAATGGTCTCGTGTCGTTTTAAGTGGCCAACGTATTGTATTTTTCTACATTACATCCGCTATATAATTATAAATGCAATTAACTGTTACGAGGTATCGTTGATTAATTTCCAGCACCCTCACTTTGGTCCCATTTTATGGCAAAATGCATCCATTATGTTGTAGAGCAGGGATATCCGCTATATAAATGCGATTGACTATTCACTACATCAGAATTACAAAGTTCTCTCTGCTCAATACCTAGATCTAGTTTTGAGAAATTTTACGTCAAAATTTTTATATTTCACAATACATGTATTATGTCAAGCTTTAGCGAATGCAATTCTTTGAACATCGTGATCAATGACAACCCCGAATATTCTTACGGTTTTGATAGAGCAGATAAAACATTTGCTTTTTGAGGACAAAAATGTCAGATAGAACTTTGTAATTCTGAGGTAGCGTATTATCACATGGAGTTTATTTATTTCCAGCACTCACATTTTGGTTCCTCTGTTAGGCCAGATCCGATTATTCTGGACGAAGTAGACCATTTTTGGTCTGAACGCCCATCGCGTGTTGGTGGCGTTCCCATCGTAGTTCGTGACAAGTGTCCGATTTACGTGAGTCGTGATCTGAACCAGAGAAAGGCCAAGATTGAAAACAGTGAAGTGATAAATTAACTAGTAACAATAAATACAACTTGGAATTAAATAAAAAGAACAAACAACAGATCCAAAAAAAATATACAGTGATAAATTATAACAATGAATACAACTTTAAACATAACAAAAACAAACAAACAATAGATCTCAAAAATATACAGTGACGAATTATAGCAATGAACAGAACCTTAGATTTTTAATAACACGAGAAAACCGAACAATAAATCCAATAAATTATGCAGTGATGAATGACAAAAATGAATATAACGAAAAAAACAAACAGTGCAAAAAATATACAGTGATAAATTATATCATTGAATATAAGTTTGAATATAACGAAAAACCACACCAATGGCTACAACAATAAAAAATACAATGATGAATTACAAATTTTTTTTAAATCACAACTGACTTAGTTTTTACGGTGCGGGCAACTGCATGCGGTCATATGAGCGCCAAGGGGTGGGTGTGAACAGAGAAGTCTTTACAGGGAATCAGGCTTACTCTTCTCACCTCTCTAGCTTCAACACACATAGTCTGCTTCGACTATCAAGGCACCCCAGAAATAAAGGGTCACAAGTGTGTGATAAACGTACAAAACAAGTAGAGGGAAATGACGAAAGTAAGAATTAGTAAAGAACAAGAAGCAGTTCCCTGTTGCAGTTCAGGCACAGTTATTAGCATGACATTGATGAATCAGCCCATTTACAATTCTACTATGCATAAAAACATGTTAATAACCCCCCCCCCCTTTCCACCCTTTTGGGAATGGCCTAATGACACTTCACACTTCAATCAGCAGCACCGCCCCGGAGGGTAACAACTTGGAGTACAGTGATACATATTACGATAAATACAACATAAGAGAGAAAGAAAGAGGGAGAGAGGAGAGAGAAAGAGAGAGAGAGAGAGAGAGAGAGAGAGAGAGAGAGAGAGAGAGAGAGAGAGAGAGAGAGAGAGAGAGAGAGAGAGAGGGGGTAGAGAGAAAGTTTTAAAGTTTTAGTTAAAGTTTTAGTAAAAGTTTTACCGCCCATGCAACACAATAAGGTCATATAAGTGCTGAAGATTAGAGGTGTTACAAGTGAGTAACAAACACAAAAAAGAAGGAGGGGCGATAAAGACGATAAATGTTTGATTGGAAAGAAGAAGCAAACCACCCCAGTGCACCCACGAACCACCCACGTAGAGAGAGAGAGGGAGAGAAAGAAATAGATAGATAGATAGATAGATAGACAGATAGATTGATAGACAGATAGATAGATAGAT